TTAAAGAAAACCAAAATCTTATAAAATCCCTAGTTCAATACACGAGATTGTATTGCACTACAAAGGTTAAGATGATCATTGACGATTACGTGCATTATGACGTGAACACCAAATTCATTAATTTGTAGAAGGATTAACATACATAAACACGTATACGGTATACGTAAGTTTACTCATAGAAACATTTGGATATTTAAGCATGTATAATCGGCAGAATAATATTTTACTATACAGATATTTCAACCCAAAACAATTTTTGACTCCATTTCCTCTGCGTTGTTCATATCGATTTTGGGTTGAACTGTTTTAGGCTGGAGGTAAACACCGATGTATTGTAGTCCCGAGGCATCGTAAGTTCCATGGAAACCGCCGAACTGAGGAGATTTCCCGAGTTTATACGCGAATTTATCGTAGCTCGAACCTGATGTGCCAAAAGGACCGTACTCACTAGTGTTGGTAGTGAATTTGAGAGACCTTATGTGAGGATTGCTAGCTTCATACTTGTAATACTCTCCGCTTATTCCAGTTATGTACTCATGCGGATAGTTTAACTCTATCTGCTGAGTACAAATCAAAATGTTTAATGTATCATAAACTATATAACCATGTTAATGAATCAGAAAGGAAAGCAATCATATACTTACAACGTCAAACACGTTGCCGGAAAATGGACCGTGACGCTCGGATAAAACGAGCTTTCCGTCCATGACAAACTGGAATTGGATAGACATGATTCCTGAGACACCGTGAGATAGAAAAATCTGAGAGAGGTTACCACTGTGACTTCCTTCGTCCCAATTAACAATTGTTGTGCTTCTAGCATCATGCTTCCCTACTGGTCCTATCTTCATCTTTCCTTCCATTAGGACCAAAACTCTAAGCTTTTGTTTGGTTACATAACCAAAATTAGGATACGATTACGTTTAATATATACATATAGAAATATCTTTAAGACACTTCTCTAAGTTTGAAGCCTCAGATTGGAATATTCCTTTCCAATCATGTATAACTTCGTCTAACAAGATTCATTGTTTTCTTTCGTTTTCCTTTGCTACCTCTCTATTGCCCATTTTTTTTATGTAAAAGATATAAACAAGACTTACGCTATACTAGATTCTAAATATGAAATATGTGAGTATATGTATGATTTTCTTATTGACCAAAAAACAAAAAAAAGTATGATTTTCTTTTACATCTGATCTAAGTTTGATTTTAAAATTCAGCCAAAAATCCCAAAGGCTAAAAATAACAAATGATTATTTTATCTTTTCATGAAAGTTAAGGGGTTATATCCGTCGATGGCATTGTGTTACAGCCATGTTATATACAATAGGTCGATGATATTGTTGCAATAGCTGATATAATATGTTTTTCTACTTTTGTTTTCCAAGTCGATTTTCTTCGTTTGGTATTTTTTTGTCAACTTTATCTAGGAAATTTACTTTCTCAATATGCACAACAATTAAGGACTAGGTTAGTTATAGAAAGACTTTTATTTGGAAACCTCACCCCCAGAACATTTTATACCAATATTGCAAACGTCATGTACCAATCTTGACTAATAAATTGTTAGCGGAGAATTTTTTGTATAATGTTCTTATTTGAACGCCTCGGATTGGAGTATTCGTTTCCAATCTTGCATAACTTCATGTAGCAATCCAATTCTTTCTTTCATTGGCTCTTGGGAAAATGGTTCACTAAGTTCTTTTATGGCAAATTTATTCCTCTTTTTCATTATTTGCAATAATGATTAATAGATGTATTTTCAGGATAAAACGAGGTTTTATTGTTGCAACCACTATGGTGCTAATACTGAAGATTTTCTTGAAATATATCTTCCATGCTGGACAGAGTTCGTAATGAGGATCCTTAAGTGATCAAAAAAGTTAAAATAATCATTGATGAT